GATCAATGGAGAAAAGGTTAAAGTTGTCAAGAATTTTGTCTTTTTTCATCCACAATCAATGTACACGATAGCAGCAGTCAAGATCAAATGCTGTGTTGCATGGTAAATCTGCTGCACAAGCCTTCTTTAGATGTTACTTTGAGGACTAAGGTGCGGCTGACCCGAGCTATGGTATTCTCTATTGCATCATATGCAGATGAAAGTTGGACACCGAATAATGAAAACCTTAGAAGAATTGGTGCATTTGAATTGTGGTGCTGGAAAAGAATAGTGAAAATTCTGTGGACTGCTAAAAGGACAAACTGATCTGTATTGAAGAAGTAAGGCTGAAGTACTCCTTTGAGCAGTGGTTCTCAACCTGTGGGTTGCAACCCCTTTGGGGGTCGATCGACTCTTTTATAGGGGTCACCAGATTCATAACAGTAGCAAAATTACAGTTACGGAGTAGCAGCGAATATAATTTTATGGTTGGGGGTTCACCACAACATGAGGAACTCTATTAAAGGGTCACAGCATGAGGAAGGTTGAGACCCACTGCCTTAGAGGCAAGGATAGCAAGAATTTGTCTCACATACTTTGGGCATAGAGTATGAGAGACCAGCTCCTGGACTTTACCAAACAGTGCAAGTTTTGTAAAGTGGAGGGTCAGTGAAAAAGAGGAAGGCCCTCAACAAGATGGATTGGTCCAGGGGCTGCATCAATGGACTTGGGCATAGAAACAATTGTAAGGATGGTATAGGACAGTGTAGGGCTTCCTTCTGTTGCATATAGGGTCACTGTCAGCCAGAGTGGGCTCACTGGCAACAATGACAGGTTATTAACAACAAATTCAGGGTTAAGATGAGGAAACTGAAACAAGTCCATAAGAATCAAATCCCACCTTGTACTTAGTGTTGTTAGGCACCATTGAGCTAGTTGTTTGCTTGTTATATTTGAGCCCATTGTCACAGCCCCTGTGTCAATCTGTCTCCTTGACTGTCTTCCTCGTTTGGCTGAGCCCCGACCTTCCAAACATGTTGTCCTTTTCTAGAAACTGAACTCTCCTGAGACCAGACCCAAAAGACAAGAGACAAAGTATCATCATGCTCACTTTTTAAAATAGTTTTACTCCTTATACTTCACATGTAATACACTTTTATTGTTCAGTCATGTTAAGAATAGTTGTGCAATCATCATCACAATTAACTTCAGATCATTTTCTTCTTGTACTCAATGTGGTTGACTTGACTCCCCATTTCCCCACAACTTCCCTTGTGAAAAACCTCCGTCAAAAAGAAAGCAGAAATATTAAAAACTGAAAGAACTCTAAAATGGATCAAAGGGAGGTCAAATGATAAATTATTACATTTAACCCAACTCCATCAGATCTGGTGGCATAGTGGTTTCACATTGGCTGCGATCACATTGTCCTCAGTTTGAAACCACCAGGTGCTGCTCAGTAAAAAGATGAGGTTTTCTACCACTTTAACAGTTACAGTCTCAAAAACTCACAGGAGAAGTTCTGCCCTGCTGCAAAGGATCACTATGGTTCTCCAGTGAGTCTGATGTTAGTTTTGGCCAAATGCGAGCATGTTCCCAAGGTCTGTGGCTAGTGGGGCTATCTAATCTCCAACGGCAGGCAAGAGCAACTTGGGGAGACGGTGACAGCTCAGGTCAGCTAAGTCTGCAGCTGCCACTTGCCTTTCCTATAACATTCTCCAGGATCTGGACAAGGAAGCCTCCTACCGAAGTCCAGTTTTCTCTCAGCTTCCCTGTAGATCTGGCTAATAAAACAACCTTGACATGTGACAAAGCACAAATGATCTAGAGTTTTGAGCACTGAAGCACTATGGGAAGAAAGAAGTTCAAGCAGGCCATTTTGTATGAAGCAGAACATTTTTTAAATGTACCTGGCTCAATAAAGAAAAAAAACGTGTGAAACAAAAAGAGAAGAAAAAGAACAAAGGTACTAAGTTATAGATTTAGAAAATGAAAAAGGAAAAGCATACTTAGCAAATTCAAAGCTGAATAGACTGAAAAAAAATTCCAGAGTAAAATTGTGAATAATTAAATGGGACAAATATTGGATGATCATAGAAACATCAAATTAAGAGAGAATGAATACAGAGTCTCTCAACCAAAAGACTTGGTCAACATATATCTATCTGAAGAATGAACATATGGTATTGAAGGAAGATGTACTAACATCACGAAAGGAATGATTGAAAACAATATGACTTCAAAAATTAATAGAATGCAAATTAAATTATTTCTAAAGAGCGATGCAGGTCCAGACACTTTCACAATCCCAGATCAAGAAATCTGGAAGACAGCTAACTGTCCAACTGACTACAAGAAATGTATTTGGCTCAAATGTGCCCCAACAAAATGTGGGAAATTAATGAACAATGCAATTAATATCACATGCAAATAAAATTTTGGTGAAGACTATTAAAAATAGTTGCAAGAGTACATCCATAGGGACTTGCCAAAAATTCAAGCACATTTCAGAAGACAATGGAATGAGAAATAATATTGTCAGGTGCATCTTTTTCTTTTTTTAGCCAAAGATGTCACTTATTTATTATTATTCTCTCAGTGAGGCATAAAAATAAGGAAGAAATGAGATGTTTGCCAATACATGTTTAACTGATTTGATGGTGGCAAAGTCGTAAACTCCACGTGACAGGATGCTAGTGAACGTAGGTAAATGTTGCTGACATGCCATGAAGTGGGCTACTCCTTCCAGACCCAGTTTTCTAGAACATTGCAATGGATACCGTACTCCTTGAATTCCCAGAGCCTTGTCTTTTAGCTAATGCCTTGGGTGCAGCTTGAACGTCTTCCTTCCGCTCCATTGGTTCTTGCTCATATGTAACCTCCTGAAATATGAAACTGTTGAACAGTTCTGGTGTTTTGGGTATAGTGACTGCATGTCTTTCTATCTTTACTTGATGCTTCCTACATCATTCAATATTTTGTCTCTAAAATGCTTCAAAATTTCAATTTCAAGCTTGAGTTTTTCTTAAGCTCCTTAAGTTTCAGATACTCTGAACATAGTCTTTCCTTTTGGGTTTCCAATTCTAAATCCTTGCATTTAGAGGCTTTGTCTTCTCAAGTTGTGCTTTGAAATTTTCATTTTGGCTCATTGATTTTGTCTTTTCTCCATTTTGCTTTAGCCACTCTATGATAAAGAGCAAGTTTCAGAGCCTCTCTTGCCATCTCCATTGATCTTTTATTTCTTTCCTATATTTTTAATGACCTTTTTCTTTCTGTATGAATGATGGTTTTGGTGTCCTCTTATAGCTCATCAATTCTTCTACTATTAGTGTTCAGTGTATCAACTCTGTTCTTGAAATGCTCTCAGATTTTGGCAGGGTGGTGGTGGTGGTGGTGGTGTTGACTCATGTTTGGTTCCTGTGGACTTGTTTTAATTTTCTTCAGCTTTATCCCAAACTTACATTTAATAATTGATGGTGTGCTACACAGTTGGCCCCTGGTATGGTTTTTGCTGCTGATATTGAGCTTCTTTATCGTGTCTTCCCACAGATATAGTCAATTTGATTTCTTTGTATTTCACCTGGGGAAGTCCATGTACTGTACAGGGGTAGGGGAAGAGTATTTTCTATGAAGAAGTTATTGGTTTTGCAAAATTTTATCATGTGATCTCCAGCTTCATTTCTATAACCAAGCCTATATTTTCCAACTACTAGTCCTTACTCTATGTTTCTAACTTTGCTTCCAATGTCCAGATGAAGTCCTTGGTAGAATGCTTCCATTTCCTCATCACTAGCTTTTGTGGTTGTGGCATAAAGCTGAGTACGAGTTGTATTGATTTGATTTCCCTGTAGGCAGATTGAGATAATCCTATCACAGATAGCATTGTAATTCTTGATGGATATAGCAAGATCCTTTCTGACAATGAATGCAACACCATTCCTCTTGATTATGCTATTCCTGGTATAGTAAATCATGTGATTTTCTGATTCAAAATGGTCCATATCAGTTCATTTCAACAACTAATGCCTAGGATATCACTCTTCATGTGTTTCGTTTCAATTTTGACCACTTCAAATGTTCCTAAAGTCATACTTCACACATTCCAAGTTCTAATCATTGGAAGATTTTTGCAGCTTCCGTGCCTTGAGTCCTGCCCCATAAGCAAATGAAGATCCAGAGGGGTCCCCTCCCACCACCTTGACCAGACTCAAGACCCGTGGTTACTTCTCTCCGAGAAAGCAGCTCTCCTTAAGTCACATTTCAAGTGTGCTTAGACCCAGGGGGTCCATCTGCTGGTGCTATCTCTGACAACATTCTGGTTCCTTTATTTATGTTTTCAGTATTTAAAAATACTTCAAAGGTGTTCAGTGACTTCTACCTCTGAATTGGGGCCCTGAGTTCTTCTTTGCTGTCCGTTCCTAGTTGGTTCTTAGTCTGTAAAACAAGTTCACATTGGGTGACTCCACTGCCATTCTAAATATCATTGACACAGCTTCCATCGTCACAGCAGCACACAAGCCTCTGCAACATGGCAAACTGATAAGCAATGGTTGATCCCTGATTTCTTTGAGATTAATATTGGGAGTTTAATATTAGTCCCTGATTTTAATGAGACTAATATTGAACTTCTGACCTACAGATAATCAATTTGTTTTGTTTTCAGCCACTAAATTTATGGCAAAGTGTTAAAGCAACAAGATGAAATAAATTATTTTCTAAATTTGACAAAAGCACATTTCACCATATGTAAAATTACTACAGTTGGGTAAGTTGTTTTCTCTTGGGATATTTTTAGTTCTAATGTGCACTGTGGGATACTAGCTTAACCCTCCAGCTCTATCATGGAAGAAAGATGAGGCTGTCTGCTCCTGTAGAGATTTACAGTCCGGGGAACCCTGAGGAGCAGGTCTACTCTACCCTACAGTGTCATTATGAATTTAAAATGACTCAATGACTGTGAGTTCAGTTTGGATTGGTTTTAAAATGTGTTATTATACTATTGCATTCAAGGCCAAACAACCCAGAGACGCAAGCCAAATGGCAAAATTTTCTAAGTTTTGACATTAGAAAGTGTGAAATTGTGCAATACGTTTAAAACTAGAGGATGATTTGATCTAAATGGGTAGGTGATATAAACACTGTGTGACAATGATAGCATTTGCAACTGTTGGTAAAGCAAGCTTATAGCTGTGGCAGAAACATTTAAATAACCATAACAAAATATAAGTATGAGATTAATTATACATGATCAGGAAACACACATACACACAAATTTCAAGTAAATAAATAACATTCACCCACCAAGATACTGGCGATGAAGTAGAAGGAGGAGCATTAGCCAGCATGTGTTATGGCAAGGCCATCTCCTTTCCTCTTTGTTTCAGAGTGAAAATTATCGCAAGGTCATCACTAGGTCCATTGATGAGGATAAATAAAATTCTAGGCCTGAAAATATCAACCTTGGAAATGGATCTCACGTAACTCAGAAGACAAAGTAATTCTTGAACCAAGTGCAGTGCTTTGGCAATATGACAGCATTACAAAGGCATAACCTTTTGTGTCAACTTTTGATAAGGCAGCAGTAATTACCATAAATTATCCTTGAAATTTTTCAAAAAGTAAAAGACAATTAAGGATATTTTTAGACTTCTTAAGAGTTTTGTAAGCTAGGAAAACGACCTATTCTTATGAATAAAATTTCTCCTAGGATACTAATATTTTTAATTATATATAATTATATGTGTATATAATTGTATATGTGTATCTTGTGAGGTGTTTTAACATTATAGGTTGATGTTAAAATATACATTCTGTATTTATTTTAAATTATTGAATAATTCATGTTTACTTTGGCCATGCAAAACTTTGTAATAAAAGAAATATTGCATATATTCTTATTCCCCTGGGGCAATTGCCTATATTATGGCATATTTATTTATAATCTAATATCCAGGGAGTGTTCTTCCGCAGATATAAACTTCCATTAATTACTATTAGAGGATATATTTTTCTATCATACTAAGCATATCTGAAACATTATTTTAATGACTAAATCCATTCATAGAATGAACAATAACACCTTTCCTTTTGCTAATAAACATTTTATTATGAGTTGGGGGAAAGTTTACACAGCATCTCAGTTTTCCATTCAACAAATCATGTACATGTTACTTCATGCCATTGACTGCAGTTCTCATAATGAATCATCATTTATTCCACTCCTTTTCTCTGCTGACAATTTCCTTTTTACCTTTTTTCATAACTGTTTGATTTTTTTTCCTTAGGCAAATAATACTCTTTCTAGGTGTAGCAGTTAATATGACCCTTCTGGTCATAACTCCTTATGAAATATATTATAAATCTGGACTCGAAGCTTTGGGCTATTATCTCATTTGGGGGATATTTCTCTGTTACAGGATTAATGTGGAGTTAAATTTAGACCTTAGTACAGGTGGGAACCAAGTCACACCATTGTTTCCTTGAGGGAATCTTTGTTGCTATTGTTGCTAGGTTCCATCAATCCAGTTCTGACTCATGGCAACACTACGTACAACAGAACTAAGCACTATCCTGTCCTGTGCCATGGTCACACTGTTTGGGCCCATTGTTACAACCGCTGTACGAATCCGCCTGCTAGAGGGCCTTCCTCTGTTTGCATTTTGAGCCAGAGCTTTTCTCAATGCAGAAACCAGCATCTGATTGCTGTCCATCACC